TCAGTCTAGCTTCTGCTTGACCTTCTGTCTCTTTGGATCCTGAGTTACCATGTAAGAAGTCAGGCTACTTGAAGCTTCCACGTTAGAGACACATGTGGAAAGGCCACGCAGAGAGATGCCAAATGAGCCCCGCCTGTTCTAGCCCCCAGCTAGACATGCCAGTGGATGATTTCAGGCCCAGCTCTCCTCTGATTCTAATTCCAGGGGAAACCTCAAGCAGGAATTGGCTATTGGAGCCTAGTCAGTCCCAGAACCAAGAGAGATAATAATATAATGACTGTTGTTTAACCTTCCCTTGCACCACAAATGCTTGACTATTGTATCCTCATCACCTCCATTATACCTGACAAGTGAGAATTGCTCAGTATATATTATTGAACTAATGGGTCCAATGTGCTTCCAATTTCTACTGTCATTGACTACTCTTCTTTCTCTCTCTTTCCTCTCCACCACCAGAGTGGTATCTTGGCCTGGCTGTGGTGCTTTTGCCCTAGGTCTCTGAAATTCACAGGGTGCCATTAAAAAAAAGTGATCGTGCAATTAATTCAGCAGCACATGCACATAGTATCACTAAGCTTAATGCCTGGTTAGCAAGAATAATTAGTTAAAATGGGGAAGCTACCAGATGGTAACTATCATCAATAACACCCATATGTGAGCCAAGACATGAATTACAAAGTTAATTTGAGGGCATGTTTTATGCTTGCCCTGGCACCAAAATTGCTAGTTGCAGCTCTGCCTGGAAGTTCCATTCTACATAATAATTTCTGATGGCAGATCTATGAACTTTGTTCAGTATGTGGGGAGATAAGAAGGTAGAAAATATATTCACACTAGTAAGTTATAGGAAGGATAGATTGGAGCATTAAGATTTGAGGTTCAAGGGGACTAAATGGTAATGGAAAAAATATAATAAAGATAAAAAATTCAGGTTCAGCCAAAAAGAGGTCACAGCATAACTTACCAGTGGTAACTTACAGAAATCAAGGAAAGATGCAAGGTAGGAAAATGTGTCCACCAGTAGGTATGGCTTCACTTGTAGGGTTTGCAGTCATATGGATCAGCTACTGGGAGAAAAAATGTGAACTACTCTGGGCAGGCAGTGCTGAGATGGCCCTGGATCTCTTCAAAGCTGTGCGTGTTGTACCATGTCTCCAGCATCAGACATCAGCCTGCAGTTTTAGCCATAAAAGTATTAGCACATCAAGTTCTTCACTGCAGAAAATCAATTTAAAAGACGGCTCCCTATTTATGTAGCCTGCAATATTCAGGGGCCCAGACTTTTCCCCATTGTTATCTAACTGAATATTTCTTTCTGTGCAAAGTCCTTGGCCAGACTCAGTGTTGCTTATGAAGCTCAGGGATCAGTCATCAACCGTCTTACTTCCTTCTATTTCTTTGCTCCTGTGCTTCTTTCAAGGACTCCTAATCTCATTTTTCAGAGATTTGAAACGTATGCTAAAGAGTCAGGGTTGCACCATCTCACACCTTCTTGCTCACCCATGTGGTGCTCCTAGGGGCTGGCATTTGTATGGAGCGAAGATCCCACGGTATGTCACCAGAAGTTCTCACTCTACCTGTATCGGCTACATGGGTTTAGCCAACTCATGAGTAGAGTGGGGGAGGAAGCAATGGCCATAACAGTTACAAAATGTATGCTCCCTGCAACTTCAGAAAACTTTGTAACTGAGTGCTAGCAGGTGCAATGTTCTATCCCTCCTTTGCTAATAGAATCATTTTAGTCTCTTCTCTGCCATATCCTCCAGATACCCCCATTTACTGATTGTGAAGATTTATCTTTTAAGATTCAGGGGTGTCCAACCTGTGGCCCATGGACCACATGCAACCCAGGGTGGCCGTGAATACGGCCCAACACAAAATCGTAAATTTACTTAAAACATGAGGCTTTTTTGTGATTACATGTCACAATGTATTTAATGTGTGGCCCAAAACAACTCTTCTTCTTCCAGTGTGGCCCAGAGACACCAAAAGGTTGGACACCCCTGTAACAAATTATGGGGCATGAACCACATAGGTTTCTATTTCATTTGCAGTGAAAAAAAAAAAGAAGTAATCAACAGGAAGCCAACCTTGTATTCAGAGGATCAAGGCAAGTACCAAGGCAAGTTCCATTAACCCTTCATTCTGATAACTTATACATAGAAATTAGGAGCCACTTTGTCTTTAAGTGTAAGGGGTAGGAGAAGAATAAACTTGTTAGCCAAAGAAATCTTGAATGGGTAGGGGCTTGAGTGGGAAGTATAAACTAATAAGATGTGATTGCATGTCTGTAGACCATCTGTGTGTTTCTAGGGAAATTATGACTGAGAAATTGGCACAATGAAAGGAAGACAATATGACACTGAGGCACCTCTCTTGAAATCAGATCCCTTGTAAATCAAGGGTTGGATGTGTGAACCTTGGCGGTGGAGGAAATGCCGCACCATCCCATTCCTTGCACGATCAATTATATTTGTTTCCCATGGCTGCAATAACAAATCACCATATTAACAGAAAGCCAAGTTTTTTGTAACTATATATAGTGATGGGTGTTAACTAGATTTATTGTGGTAACGATTTCATAATATATACAAATATCAACTGATCATGTCAAACATGTAAAACTCATATAATGTTATATGTCAATTATATCTAAATTAGAAAAAAACCAATCTACTATCTTACCATTCTGGATGTCACAAGTCTAAAATGTGTCTGCAGAGCTGTATTTTTTTCTAGAGGCTCTAAGGGAGACCCCATTTCCTTTATTTTTTTAGCCTCTAGAGGTTTTCCACATTCCTTGGCTTGTGAACCCTTCTCCTATCTTCAAAGCCAACTGCTTAGCATCTTCTAATCTCTGTCTGACCTGTTCCTGCTTCCCTCTTGAAAAAACTCTTGTGGTTACATTGAGCCACTGGAATAATTCAGGATAATTTCCTAATCTCACTTGCAGGGATTAGAACACAAGAACACGAACATCTTTGGGGGCCCATTACTCACCCTATCACATCAAGGACTTGAAGGTTATTTCCTGTTTCCAGTTTTGGGTGAACCGAGCTGGCATATAAACTGCTTCAGTGGTGGTCACTGCTTGCATTTCTCCTTTCATTTTCCTACTTTATGAAGAGCTAGGGGAGCATTCATTGTAACTCCCAGGGCCTATTTTATGGGCTATATTTAGCACCAAGTCTTATATTTAAATTTAAGAAAACAACAGCAAAGAGGTATTGGTTGATATTGAGTCATAAATTGTTAGGATGAAGGGATCTGTGAGATCATGTGATCCAATTCTTTTCATCTTATATGTGAGGAAAATAAAGTGAAGAGAGATCATATTGACTTGACAAGATCAACAGCTAGTTAGTGACACAATAAACTAGCACCTGTTTCCTAATTCTTTTATTACACCAGTGGGATTGTGAATTAAGTTTGGGAAGCTCTATGGAGTTAGTCATGGACTATCTGATCTTGTTATATTTTCCCCATGATATTGGATAAATAAAGTGATATTTTACTTTTATACTTATTTATCATTTATTTGTATCTTAATTTTATTTTTTTAGAGAGGGGGGAAGGGAGGGAGAAAAAGGGGGAAAGAAACATTGATGATGGCCAGTAGATACATTATTTGGTCACCTCTCGCATGCCCCCAACTAGGAACCTGGCCCACAACCCAGACATGTGCCCTGATGAAGAATCAAATGGGAGACCTTTCGGTTTGCAGGTTGATTCCCAACCCACTGAGCTGTACTAGTCAGGGCGATAAGATTATATTTTAAAGCAAGAAAAGTAAAAGCCTCATGGAAAAAGTCCATGAAGTTCACTGATTTCAGGTAACCACTGCTCACCAATGTGCTAGACCCATAAAGTGACAGAATAATGGCAAATGGATTTAAATCTCAGGATGAAGAACTTTTTCTTAGTGAGCTCAGAAAAATGGTCTAAGATGTGTAGTTGAAAAGAGTGTGGAGGAAAATGCCTACTTTCCTTGGGCTTTTGAAAAACATGTTTTTCTTTGAAATTTATAGAAAATTACTTATTGAGGGTCCACTGTGTGTGAGAATCCTTGGTACTGAGAAAAAGACAACAAAAAAAGGTTTTATGGAGATTTATTATTTACAATTTGAATTTTTCAAATTCCTGAAAATACAGAGAAAAACAACTCCAAATTTTAAAATGAGGTAATCTTGAAGTAACATAGTAGGGCATTTCCTGTGAATAGTGAGTATGTGGCATGTTAAAACATGTGAAGTGCAGTTCAAATTTTTTGAATTCCTTGTGGATGGGAACCTAGCCCTTTGCTTAAACTGAAATGCTTCATCTGCCAAAATTAGACAAGCCAACACACTTATGAGTTGTTAAGGTATGGAAATCCAGAATTTAGACAAGTTCTAATGCAGATGGAAGAAATAAGTGTCAACCTTTGCACCTGCTTTGAGTCCTTTGCTGTTTGGGGTCAGTTCTCTCACGTCTGGTTTGCTGATTTATGGCTTATTTTTCCTGTGGTGCAATATCTGTTAAGTCAGTTTCTTCCATACCATAAATTACCGCAAAAGAGCAGGGCAGTTAGTTTCCTTTGGAAACCAAATGAACACTTTCTGGTCATTTGGTATCTTGTGGTATATCTTTCATTCGTAACTATATTATGGATTATGGACATATTTAGGAAGACTGCTAAACTGGAGATAATGTACATAATTTGACATAGGAAATCACTCACATTTTTACCTCTTTGTAGCCCTGAAATTATTGGAAGGGGAATTAAGCAGAAAGAGGACCAGAGAGAGATGGTGTTGAAAACGATGTTTCTGAGATGAGCTGGAATTGGTGGGGTCGAACTTGAAAACCAAATTGGTTTCAGATCAGAACTCCTTACAACTGGCAAAGGTCTAGGTTTTTGCAGAGGGCTGGTGGATGGATGGTGGCTGTCATCTTTTGATGACCAGATCAAGCTTTGAGACTGACTGATTAGTCAAGTAATTTGAATAAGAGGCACTGGCTCAGAGATTGCACATAGGACGATAACAGCAGTGAGTAATCTGACTGTTCTGATGTGTCACCACTCGCCTGAAGCACTCCTTGCCGCTCTCCGTGCAGCCTTTAACTGAAAACCAGTGAATTCCACCTGAGGGAAACAAAGAGGTAGAGGCTGAGAAAACCCTTGGGAGGTGCAATCTACCTGGCCTCGGACAGTGACAACAGGTTCAAAAAAGTGCAAAGCAAATGTCTAGGTTTATCAAGATACAATCATCTTGTATTTAAGAATTCCCACCTGAAAGTATTCTAGTTGGTACCTTGCAATACAGAAACTTTGAAATTATAAATCAAAATAGCTTTCAAACTCAGATAATAAAAGATGTGCTATTGTCATTGACTATGTAAAATTTTCAAATTGTTAGCTATTTGAAAGCTTCCTCATATCATCTCCTAGTTTAATTCAGGTGATGAATTATTCAAAAAGCTGAAATCCTTAAAAGGATCATTTAGATGTATGTTTCTCAGAAATGAGGTATGTTCTTGACTTCACTTAATTTTGTCCCTGGTTATAGAAGTAATGCATACTCACTGTAGAAAATGTGAAAAATACACAAAAATGCACAGTAAGTGACAGTAGTATCCTGTAACCCTAGCATCCCAGCTTCCATTGGGAGGACGCAGAAGAGCAATTCCCCAAAAGCAGCAAAATATATGATGGTTGGAAACTTGAGCAAACAGTAGTCTTGAGCAAACAGTAGTTCTCCACTAGGGGTAATTTTGCTCCCCCAGCTCCAGGACAGTAGATAATATCCAGAGACATTTTTGTTGTTTCAACATGGAAGATATTACTGGCATGTAGTGGGTTGAGGGCAGTGATGTACTAAACAAACATCCTCCAATACACAAGATAACCCTGAATAACAAAGAATCATCCTGCCAGTGTTAACAATATCCAAGGTGAGAAACCCTGTTGATAAAACTAGCAAAAGGGTAAATTCCAGTTCTATTTGTTTCACATCATTGTGACATGGCAACACTTCCAGGTTAGGAAAGTGCTCTTCCCACAATTTCTGTGGTCATTCTAGGTCTCTAACCCACCAAGAACTACTGTCAATATTGTGCTATATATGCTTCCATGCTCTCTCTCGTGTGCGGAGAATAGTACTTGTTCTGTTTGTCCACACTCAGGAGGAGAAGGGAGGGGCACTCCAAGGGGGCTTGGCACTTTTCTGCTTCAGAAGGAAGGGACCCTGACTGGCAAAGTTGCTAGTCATAAGGAACTTGAGGTTTAGAGAGGGTAGCTAGGTTAGACAGATTGAACAAAACTCAAGTAATTATAATCCTCCGACCCAGCAGATATGAACCCAGAATTCTATTCCTTTTTCCCAACTAACTTGGATCTCCTCTAATTTTTATTCTCCTCTTCAAATTCTGTAGCAATATTTAGAGGTTTGCTTTGTGGAGATTTTTATTCATAAGTGTATACTATACATACCTGTTTTGCAACTTTTTTTCTTCTCAACAATGTTTTAGAGTTTTCCCACATTAACAAAGAGATCTAGTTCATTCTAAGTGCTGCCTCATAATTCATGATGGGAATGTATCATAATTTTAAATAACATCTATAGACAAATATTAAGGTCATTTCTATTACTTTATCATTAAATATGAAGTTGGCTGTGTTGATAATTTTGATACATGCCTTATTGTGTTGCATGTAGCTATTTTTCTGCAGTAGATAGAATTGCTCTATAGAAGGCTGTGCTCATTTAAAATTTTAATGAGCCCTGGCTGGTGTGGCTTATTGGATTGAGTGCCAGACTGAGAACCAGAAGGTTGCTGGTTCGATCCCCAGTCAGGGCATATGCCTGGGTTACAGCCCAGGTCCCAGGTTCAGGGCATGTGAGAGGCAACTGATCAATGTATCTCTTGCACATTGATATTTCTCTCCCTTTCTTCCCCTCTCTCCAAAAGTAAAGAAATAAAATCTTTAAAAATAAAATAAAATTTTAATGAGATTGTCTAAAGTGCTAAGCCCATCTGAACTGTCACTGGAAATATATGAGAGTTCCCATTTTATCACACTCTCACTGAACCTCAACATTATAAAACTTTCATAATTTTTACCAATCTGATGAGTTAAAAATACATCATTTCTGTAATTTATTTCTTTGATACTTACTGATGAGTTGAGCAGCTTTTTATGTCTTTAGGTGAGGCCATTTATATTTCCTCCTTCGAAAATTGCCTTACAATTCCTTTAACAAGTTCAATTTTTTTTCAGATTGTTGGTCCACTTAAAAATTGTTTTTGGAAATTCTTTATTCCAGATAGATAGTAATATTTTTTCTGTTACTTATATTTCAAATATTTTCATCCAGTTTATTCCTTGTCTTTTGGATTTGCTATTCAGTTTGAAATTTAAAAAACTACTGATATATTTAAATTTATCTACCATTTTGTTTACAACTCTTGCCTTTTGGATGTTAAGGAAGCTTCCTCTCCTTCAAGCTTAAAATATGTTCTCCAGTGTTTTCTTCCAATGTTTTCTTCATTTGGATCTTTACATTCAGCTCTTTAATTTATGCAGACCAGGCTGGCTTTTTGGCCATGCAACCTATGCAGTTGCAAAGAGCTGTGCTTAGAAGGGCCAACAAATTCTGTATTTATTTTCTGTGGGGACGTGAGTGATGTGACTGAAGTAGTATGTGCTCAGAAGTCAAACTACTTGCATTTGAGTCTTGGCTCTGACATTCATTAGTTTCTATTCCTCGAATTTCTCATGTTTGAAAAGTGGTAATAGTTACAAAATCCAGCTACATCATTGTTTTGTTTTGTTGGTGTAAAATAATCTACGTAGAGCCCTTCACATAGGATGTGGTATGTAGTAAATACTCCATGAATATGCTCATTTTACATATGTTTCTTTTCTTTCTTTTTTTTTAGAAATTTTATTTATTTACTTCTAGAGAGAGGGGAAGGGGATGAGAAAGAGAGGGAGAGAGAAACATCGATGTGTGAGAGAAACATTGATTGGTTACTTCTCACATCCAGCTGCGGATCTAGCCTGCAACCTAGGCATGTGCCCTGACAGGGAGTTGAACTGCTGACCTCTCAGATCACAGGCCAGTGCTCGGTCCACTGAGCCACACCAGCCAGGGCACTAAGCTTTTTTTTTTTTTTAGTGTCAAGACTTACCTCTAGTGTGGATCTGTTTTATACAGTACTGACCAGGTTTTGTTCTGCAGGTTCCAAAGTCTAAAAGACATCCATGGAAGGGGAGTGAAAGGTTGCATGATCTACAAATCACACCTCCAATATCTGCAAGCACTGGAGAGAAAACATAAGGGGAAAATAGAGATGAAGACCAGAGAGAGAAAAAAAGGGAAAAAGAGAAATAAAGAAATCCAAAAATAAAGCAGTGACTTTCAACTTTCAAAAGTAAGCAATATTTAAAAAATTTGATTTCACATATGCTACATTCATGAATTGGAAGTACTCTGAACTGGTACTAATTAGAAATGAGGCCAGGTGGTCTAAACAATTTGCTTAGAATGTATTCAGTTCCTCTGCGCCTAATTAAATCAAATCAAAGTTATTTAGCCAGAAAATTTAATTTCAGCCGTATAGTCACTATTAGGCCCTCTTTTTAACATCTAAAGCAACACATTACACCTAGTAAATTCTCTGTGAATATTTATTGCTTGATTCATGTTTATGTATGGGTTATCTTCAATACTTAAATTCAGTGGTTCAAAAATGTTATTCATTTTTTTATGTACGAATAGCCTAGACATTTTTGAACTTGATCAACATAGATAAGAATGGAAGACATTATCTAGAAGTTCTGTTTCCAAATTTGTCTGTGCATTAGATTTACCTAAGCAGTTAAAGTAAACACAGATTTCCAGAGGGCACCCGCACCCCGAGTTAGAACTTATAGAAAGTGGGGCCCAGGAATCTGTATTTTAGACATGCAGAAAAATCAGAAAGCATGCAATTTATTTATCTACTTATTTACTACTATTATTATTTTTTATCCTTCCTTGAGGAAATGCCTATTGATTTTAGAGAGAGGGGAAAGAAGGGAGAAAAAAAAGGGAGAGAAATATCACTGTGAGAGAGAAATATCAATTGGTTGCCTCTCACATGCTTCCTGACTGAGCACCAAACCTTCAACTCAGGCATGTGCCCTAACCAGGAATTGAACCTGTGACCATTCTGTTTACCAGGTGACACTCTCACCAACTGAGCCATACTGGTCAGGGCAGAAAGGATGCTATTTAGATATAGATATCAGGACTGGTGTTTGAGAACCACTGGTTCTACCCAATTCAGAATGTCCATTATGGTAAATGCTGCAGGGAGCCTTGGCTAGTGATGGAGAGTTCATCACTATTAAAAACAGCTCAGATTATTAAAAGATTCTTCTGACATTCAGCTAAAATGTGTCTTAGTGTTCATAGTTCCTACCTTTTAATATATGAGGACCATTGCCAAGTCACTTCTACTCATTGATAACGCCAAAGAAGAGTTTATTAGACATTTTTTACAATGTGTTTTCTATCTCCCTCTGTCACATTGGAGGTAAGAAGAGATTGCTTTTAATAAAAAATAGTCTGGCTGATGAATTGGAATTAATGTATCTTGACTATTCTCCCTAGTTTCAACCTCACCTAAAGACACTTTGGAAATTGCACATTGGTATTCTCTGTAAGCATAACAGATTTTTAATCCATGATCAAGTATAAATCAGCAAATATCTTTAAGAACTAAACTTATGCCGATTGACAATCCATTTACGTGCATTAGTTCAATTGTTCACATAATGAATCCTTCTAGGAGGTGCAGTGACCACACCAGGTCACTGGAGCTACCAAACCTTCTGATGTCCCTGTCTTCTTTTTCTCTCTCTGAGATGGTCCTCCCTTCTTCTGACTCCACTCCCAACATCCATACACTTCTTAAAACTCTGGCTCTCACATTTTTTTTTTTTACTATTACAAAAGAAGATGCCTTAACTCTTAGGCCTCTTGCTGATTATAATTTTTCCCGAATACTTATTTGTTCTCAGATCCCATTTACTTCCTTTTAGTTTCTTGTTATCTTAAAATATAGTGTTGTTTTTAGCACATGATATTTTTGATTTGACAGTTAAATTTAAAGCTTCAAATTAGTTCCTTTAGGTGATTAAGTCTGAAGTATGCTATTCTATTTTATGACTTTATTTGTTAGCTTGTATTATGTTATTATGTATGTCCTTACTTGGTCCTCTTTGTAAGCACCTTAATTACCTTGTTTAAGACCACAGGCCACTTATATTGTAATTTGGCAGTTTCCTAGATAATTTTCCCTCCTTTTGATTTATGCTTTCTTAATGACTTACCACTTGAGAGGCAGAATAAGACTAAAGCACTACTGAAGACAATCCTCATTCTTATGTTTCTAGGAAAAAAAGATGGAAGAAAATATATATCCCACTGTTAAATCTTTCCTGGGGAAGTAAAAAAGTTACACATTTATGTTAGCTATTATGAAAAAGAGAAATGACTTGCCAAGTTCCATTTATTTCATTAATAAAGTACATAAATTTTTTTCTATGAAGGAGGAAAAATAAGGTACTTGTCTTTATCAAAAATTAACCATAAAACTTCTCATTCCAATGAAAATTTTAAGTTTAGGTGTCTTCTCCTTATCAGATACCCTTGTCTCCCTTCTTTCCCTGAATGGTAATTGTTTGATGCAAAAATATGAACTGAGACAGATGATATTTCTAGATTGATATACTTTAAAATTCCTTTTAATTATTTGCCAAAAGGCAAGTATTTATTTATGCTTCTTTATAAACTAATGCTTTCATTGCAAATGATTGCATTTATAAGGAAAAGTATTCTATGATAGTTAACAGTAATTAATACTTATCAAAATTAAGAGAAAGACATTTTCAGATTGGTTAAAATGTAACACTTAAGTTATTCATGACTTACTTGCCTTTATCATGAGGTATTGTGGGAATTTTCTAGGTCTGAAGTTGTTTAAAGGATAGCAACAAGTAAAACTCCTGATGTAATGAAGTCTGTTATAACTGAAACCAATAAGGCAAGTCTCTGATTGACCAGATTCCAAACGGTTTAAACAGTAAAACTTGCCCAAGTAAACAGGCAGTTTTTTCATTTGAACACTCTGATCTACATGGAACTTAAGTGCCTCACTCATGAAATTAACATCATAGGCTAAGCCAATCAGCAGTTAGACTGATTAACTGTAAATGAGGCTAAAGATTTCTATATTCACTATGCTACAGATTGATTAATTCACATGTACATAGCCATGTGGGCATACTCTCCGTTCATTGTATAAAGTATTCAGTCTTGATTATTAAAAATATATCATTTTAAAATTAATTATTTTTAATTGTTCAAGTACAGTTGTCTGCCTTTACCCCCCACCCAAGCCCAACTCCCCAGCCCTCCCCACCTCCCTCCTGTTTCCACCCCTTGTTAGTGTCCATGTGTCCTTTATATTTGTTCCTGCAAACCCTTCACTCTTTTCCCCTGAAATTCCCTCCCCTCTGCCCTCTGGTCACCATCAGCCTATTCTCAATTGCAGTGTCTTTGGTTATATTTTGCTTGTTTGTTTGTTTTGTTGTTTAGGTTCCTGTTAAAGGTGAGATCATATGGTACTTGTCTTTCACTGCCTGGCTTATTTCACTTAGCATAATGCTTTCCAGTTCTATCCATGCTGTCACAAAGGGTAGGAGCTCCTTCTTTCATGAAAATATATATCTTTACAGCAGAACTTTGTACATTCAGAAAGCAATTTGATTTTTAAACATGTGCTTATTTCTAAATTAATATATAGTTCCAAGTTACTGCATTTTTCTTGAAGCTAATTAAAAAACTAAGAATATTAACATCTTTGACCATGTTCCCTACCAAATCCAATGTCTTTCCAATTTTAACCACATTGTCAATATGCTGGGTATTCTTTTTATTCTGTGCATTTTTAAAAATCCTCACCCAAAGATGTTTTTTTTTTCATTACTTTTAGAGGGGGAGAAAGGGAGAGAGAGAGAGAGAGGGAGGGAGAGAAAAACATTAATACAAAAGGGCTACATTGATTAGTTGCCTCTCTTACATACCAGACTGGGAATTGAACTTGCAACCTGGACATGTGCCCTGACCTGGAATCTGTGACCTTTTGGTCAATGAGACAGTGCTCCAACCAACTGGGCCACACTGGCCAGGGCTATTCTGTGCATTTTTATAAAACACTTGTAACTTGGAAATATGCATAATATTGCTTTTTGTTTTATTTTTTCAAAAATAGTATTATACTCTCATATTATTTCCTCCTCTAGTTTAAAAATATGTTGAAAACCTATGTCAGTCTTTCACAGTAATTCATTATTTTTCATTGCTATAAATTGTTTTTGGTATGGATTATACCATTGTGATTTTGATTTGGTTTCATTGGTGATTGATGATGTAGAGCACCTTTTCATGTACCTGTTGACCATCTGTATGTATGCTTTGGGAAAATGTGTATTCAGATCTTCTGTTCATTTTTAAATTAGATTTTTTATTGTTGTCATTTTGCTATTGAGTTGTCTGGGTTTTTTTTTGGATAGTAACTCTTTATTAGGTATTTGATTTGCAAATATTTTCTCTCATTTGGTAGGCTGCTGATTTTTGTTGATGGTTTCTTTCATCCAACCGAAGATTTTGGGTTTGATGTAGTCCCTGTTTATTTTTGCTTCTGTTGCTTGTGCTTTTGGTGTCAGATTAAAAAAATATTGCCAAGTCTATGTCAAGGACCTTACCACTTGTTTCCTCCTAGCAACTCTATGGTTTCAGGTTCTACCTTTATGTTTTTTGTATAGTGTAAAACTGTGGTCTGGTTTCATTCCTTTGCATGTGACTTGAATTTTCCCAACACTATTTATTGAGAAGATTGTCCTTTTCCCATTGTATGTTTTTGGCTTCTGTGTTGTAAATTAATTGGCCATATATGTGTGGATTTATTTCTGGACCCTCTATTCCCTTCCATTGATCTATATGCCATTTTTATGCCAATACCATACTATTTTTAAGTGACATTTAAATAACTTTCTGGAAAAGGCAAAACTGTTGTGGTTGCCAGGGGTTGAGGAGAAAGGGACAGACTGACTACAAAAAAACAGCATGAGGACATTTTCGAGGATGATCAAACTGTCCTGTATCTTGTTTGTGGTGGTGGTTATAAGACCATGCATTTGTGAATTTCAGTGAATATAAATTTTAAAATAAATTTGAAATATTAATAAGAAAAAATCTATGAGTGTTGTCAGTGAGAGATACTGAGAGTTAAAAGAAACAATAAGGGGAGATTCAAATTTATTATTTATATTGAAGGATCAGGGAAGGTCCTGAGGAAGTAACTTTAAGCTGAACTATAGGGGATGGTGAGAAGTTGGTCAGGAGAAGGGTGGGGAAAAGAGAATTTCAGGCAGAGGAAATAGCTTTTTTAATTGTAATTTTTATTTTATTAAAGGATTTTATTTATTTTTAGAGAAAGGGGAAGGGAGGGAGAAAGAGAGGGAGAGAAACATCAATGTGTGGTTGCCTCTCACATGGCCCCCACTGGGGACCTGGCCTGCAACCCAGGCATGTGCCCTGAATGGGAATGGAACTAGCGACACTTTGGTTCACAGCGCATGCTCAATCCACTAAGCTACACCAGCCAGGGCTCAGAGGAAATAGCTTTTAAGAAGTAGAATCAAGGGGTGGGAGGTGAGGATTTGTGGCGGGGGAAATGGAGACAAGTGTATTTGAACAATAATAAAAAAATAAATGAAAATGTTAAAAAAAGAAGTACTTGCTTTTAAAAGACAAGGAAGTACTTTGGTTCTCAAAAAACAAGAGAAAACTAATGTGATTGCAGACCAGAGCACTACTGTAAGAGTGATGAGAGAGGGTCAAGCCTGAATAACATAATGGGCCATTTAAGGCTTTTGACTTCTGTCCAAGAACAATGGAGTTTTTCCTAGTGATTAGGTATAGCATGATTAAATTTCTATTTTTACTTTAAAAATAGGGCTGCAGGTTGGGAAAACTGGAGTTGAGGGAAAGTAGAAGTTGGAATATCTGTATTAAAAACCAAGAACCAAAAACCAACCGTCTTGGCCCTGGCTGGGCCAAGAGCAATAGCTCATTTTGGTTGGAGCATCATCCTGTAACTGAAATGTTACTAGCTCCATCCCTGGTGGGGTGCTTATGGGAGGCAACAAATTGATTTTTCTGTCACACACTGATGTTTCTCTCTCATTGGGACACAGTCCTTTTAAAGGCTGAAATTCATACCCATCTTCTGGGAAAAATTGGCATTTCTTTTAAAAGTTTTTTTAAAATTATATTTTTATTATGCTATTACAGTTGTACTGATTTTTCCCCCTTGTGCCCCTCTGCTCAGTGCCCTCTACTCCTTCAGTCAATCTCCCTACCATTGTTCATGTCCATGGGTCATGCATATAAGTTCTTTGGCTACTCCATTTCCTATACTGTACTTTACATCCCCATGGCTATTCTGGAACTACCTATTTGTACTTCTTAATCCCCTCATCTCTTCACCCATTCTCCCCCTCCCCCTTCCCATCTGTCAACCATCTGGTAACTAACTTCTTTTCTCTTGCTGCTTTTAAGGGTCTCTCTTTATCTTTAATCTTATGATGAGACTTGGTGGGATTCTTTGCATCCATCATAATTTGGACTCTCTGTGCTTCCTGGACTTATATGTCTATTTCCTCCACCAAATTAGGGAAGTTTTCTTTCATTACTTTTTTAAAAATAGATTTCTCTTTTCTTGCTCTTTCTCTTCTCCTTCTGGTACCCCTATGATGTGAATGTCGGAACGCTTGAAGTTGTCCCAGAGATTGTTTATACTATCCTTATGTTTTTGGAATCTTTTTTCCTCTTTTTGTTCTGTGTGGTTATTTTTTGCTTCCTTATGTTTCAAATCATTGATTTGATTCTTGGCTTCATCCACTCTACTGTTGTTTCCCTGTAAATTGTTCTTTATTTCAATAAGAGTATCCTCCGTTTCTGACTGGATCTTTTTTATGCTGCTGAGTCCTCATTAAGTTCCTTGAGCATCCTTATAAATAGTGTTTTGAACTCTGCATCTGTTAGGTTGGCATATCCATTTTGTTTAGCTTTTTCCCTGGAGTTGTGATGTGTTGTTTTATTTGGACCATGTTTCTTTGTCTCCTCATTTTGGCAGCCTCCCTGTGTTTGTTTCTATGTATTAGGTAGAGCTGCTTTGACTCCATGTCTTGGTAGAGTGGTCTAATATAGTAGGTGTCCTAGAGGGTCCAGTAGCACAGCCTGCACTATCATCCAAGCTGGGTACTTGAGGTGTGCTCTTTGTGTGGGTTGGGTACACCCTCCTCTTGTAGTTGAGCCTTGGTTGCTCTTGGCAGATCAATGGGAGAGATTTACCCAGGCCAGTCAGCTGCATGGACTGATTGTGACCACTAACCACCAACCTCCGATGTCCGTGGAGTATCAGCTGTGCAGTGGCAGGGTGCTGGTGCTCTGACATGGTCTGTAGCTATCCACTGGGTGCACTGGCACTGGGATTTCCCAGGTGGTGCAGGGCAAGGTCAGCCCCCTGTCTGGAGCACCCTGCCTGAGCTGTAAAGCAATCTGAGATGGCTGCTACCTATGCTGGGCTTGGAAGATTCCCAGGTGAAGCCAAGCCATGACTCTAACCTGGCTGCTGCTAGGGCTCACTGAAGCCAGCTGTTGCTTGTTTGACAGGATTTAGGAGCCAGGACAAGCCATTCTTATGAAAAAGCAGCTTGGGCAGGCCCATAAATTGGGTGGGGCAGAGCCTCTGGGGATCTCCAAGGCAGGTCAAACAATGTTAGTCAGTTTGATGGAGTATCAGATATGGCACCAGCTTACTGGCTCTGTGAGGGTAGAATTTAGCAAAGGGACAATGGCCCCTGCTCACCTTGATGCCAGACACTTCAGTTTGTCCATGTATACCACTGGTGTCTTTCAAGCTTCTACCCCAGTGCTGGAGCTCAGAGGGAGTGAGTCTGGGTAGGTGAGTCCATGTGTGGGTTCCCCAAGAGACTTGGGACTCCAGAAGTTTCTTCCACAGACTCACTCCCTGTTGGGTTTTGCACCAGAAGTTGTGGGAACTTATCTTCCTGGCACTGGAATCCTGGGCAGGGGGGCCTGGTGTAGGTCTGGGACTTCTTGTTCCTGAGATATCCCTCTTGAATTTTTATCCACATGGGTGTTGGACCAGCCTATTCCACATCTGCACCCCTCCTACCAGTCTGGATGGATATGGTTTCTTTAATTTTGTGGTTTTCAGACTTCCATTTAGCTCGATTTTGTAGTTGTCAGACTTCCATTCAGCTTGACTTCTGATGTTCCTGAGTGATAGTTGTTCTATATTTTAGTTGTAATTTTGATGTGCTTTTGTGAACAGGTGAACCATGTCTGCCTGTGCTGCCATCTTGATCAGAAGTCCTATTTGTACTGAAATTAGCATTTCTAACAAACTGTTATGCCACTTTCTAATGAATTTTGATGTAATAAAAACTTGTACTGGATAACTAGTGATACATACAGTTGACTATCAGCTGACTGCCAATCAAGAATCTAGTGACCTTCAGTGATACTATTCCTTCTTTCTGTACCTCATCCATTCTCTTTTTCTAGAAAATTTTCCTACCAGGGTTAAATATTTTATTGGCCTACAAAGAGCATTTTTTTTCTTATATGCATGCAAGATTGTTATAAGATGACATATGTTTATTTTAAAAAGATTTTTTAAAAGTTTCTTGAAATAAGGTTTGTCTCCAAAAATTATTGTATTTTGCCTTGTATAATGCATATATATGGTCTGTGTGCATTATAAACTGGATTATTATATCCACGGTATGTAATCATTATACCCATGTATAATGTGCATCCTTATTTTTCCCTTAAATAATTGGGCAAGAAAGTATGCATTATATGTGGCAAAATATGGTAATTTCCTTCTTATTATCATCAGTAAACCATTAACAAACATAAACTCTGTGTGATGCCATTTACAATAGCAATAAAAATAAGAAATTTGCAATGTGTAGCAAAAATATATGCAAGATTATTGGTAGCTCCAAGTGTTCCTTGCCTTGTGCCTTCATAGCTCTGATTTCTGCCTCCACCTTCACATGGTCTTCTCTGTCTCTTCTTTTCTGTCTCTAATGTCATTTGCCATTAGACTTAAGTCCCACCTAGATTATCCAGGGTGGCAGCATCTTGAGATCCTTAGTTACATCAAAGACTCTTTTCCCAAATAAAGTCACATTTATAGGTTCCTGGGGTTACAACATGGGCTATCTTTGGGGGTGGGACACCATTTAATCCACTACCTACAATAGAGAATCAAATAAATGGAGGAATGCAGCATCTTCAGATTAATGAAGACAAATATTTTAATGACATCTTTGGTATCTTTACCAAATTGATTCAATGTATATCAATTATATCCCCAAAGAGTGTTTCAATGGAACCTGGTAAATTGTTTCTAAAAGGAACAAATAGCCAAGATATTATTTTTTTAATTTTAATCATTGTTCAAGTACAGTTTTCTGTCCTTTACTCCCATCCCAGCTCACCCATCCATCCCTCCCCACTTCCCTCACATTTCTACCCCACCCTAGTTTTTGTCCATGTGTCCTTTATATTTGTTCCTGTAAACCCTTCCCATTCTCCCCTGAAATTCCCTCCCCTCTCCCCTCTGGTCACTGTCAGTCTGTCCTCTATTTAGTGTCTTTTACTATATTTTGCTTGTTTCTTTGTTTTGTTGTTTAGGTTCCTGTTAAAGGTGAGATCATATGATATTTGTCTTTCACTGCCTGGCTTGTTTTCCTTAGCATAATGTTTTCCAGCTTCATCCATGCTGTTGCAAAGGGTAGGAGCTCCTTATTTCTTTCTGCTGCATAGAATTCCATTGTATAAATGTACCATAGTTTTTTGATCCATTCATTTACTGATGGGCATCTTGGTTGCTTCCAACACTTAGCTATTGTAAATTGTGCTGCTATGAACATTGGAGTGCATAGGTTCTTTTGGATTGGTGTTTGAGGGTTCTTAAGATATAGTCCCAGCAGTGGAATTGCAGGGTCGAAAGGCAGATCCATTTTTCATTTTCTGAGGAAGTTCCATACTGTTTTCCATAGTGGTTGTACCAGTCTGCAGTCCCACCAACAATGCACTAGGATCCCCTTTTCTCCACAACCTCTCCAACACTTGTTGTTTGTTGCTTTGTTTATGATGGCCATTCTGACTTGTGTGAAGTGGTATCTCACTGTGGTTTTAATTTGCATCTCTCTGGTAGCTAGTGATATTGAGCATCTTTTCATGTATCTCTGGATCCTCTATGTGTCCTCCTCGGAGAAGTGTCTGTTCAAGTCCTTTGCCCATTTTTTTAAATTGGGTAGCTTGTCTTCTTAGAGCATAGTCGTGTAAGTTCCTTGTATATTTTGGAAATTAAACCCTTGTCTGAGGTATCATTGGCAAATATGTTTTCCCATACAATTGGTTCTCTTTATATTTTAATACTGTTTTCTTTAGCCATGCAGAAGCTTTTTATTTTGATGAAGTCCCATTTGTTTATTCTTTCCTTTATGTCTCTTGCTCTAGGGAACATATCAGTAAAAATGTTGCTGTGTGAAAGGCATTTTTGTACACCAACAATGAAATAGCAGAAGCAGAAATCAAGAAAAAAATAGCATTCAACATAGCAAAAAGAAAAATAAAATACCTAGGAATAAACCTAACCAAAGAGGTAAAAGACCTGTATTCAGAAAACTATACAAGACTGAAGAAAGAAATCAAGGAAGACACAAATAAATGGAAACATATACTGTGTTCATGGACTGGAAGAATTAACATCATCAAAATGTCCATACTACCCAAAGCAATTTACAGATTCATTGCAATACCTATTAAAGTACCAATGGCATATTTCACAGACATAGAACAAACACTTCAAAAATTTACATGGAACCATAAATGACCCCAAATAGCTGCTGCAATTTTGAGAAAGAAGAGTAAAGTAGGAGGGATCACAATACCTGATACTAAACTATATTACAAGGCCACTGTAATCAAAACAGCCTGGTACTGGCATAAAAACAGGCACATGGACCAATGGAACAGAACAGAGAACCCAGAAATAAACCCAAGTCTCTATGGTCAATTAATATTTGACAAAAGGGGGAGCAACATAAAATGGAGTAAAAATAGCCTGTTCAACAAATGGTGTTGGGAGAACTGGACAGCTATGTGTAAAACAATGAAACTCAACCAGCTTACACCTTACACAAAAATAAATTGAAGGTGGATAAAAGATTTAAATATAAACTGTGACACCATTAAAGTCCTAGAGGAGAATATAGGCAAGAAAATCCAAGGTATTCTTTAAAAGGAACTGGGTGAGGGGATTTGACAAACTCAATATCAAGATTTATTTGTGCACTGACTGGTGTGGCTCATTTGGTTGGATGTCAGCCCACAAAACAAAAGGTTGCTGGTTTGATTTCCAGTCTGGGCATGTGCCTGGATTGTGGGTTCCGTCTCTGGTTGGGATGTATGTGAGAAAAAACTGATTGATGTTTCTCTCTCATATTGATGTTGCTCACCCTCTGATTTTTCCTCCTTTCTCCCTCCCTAAATGTAAATAAATAAAATTATTTTAAAAAGATTTATTTGAAAAGTATACTAATAAGACCAAGTGGCACTGATTAACAAACTGACCAACAAAACAGAAATTAACTTACACATATACTGAAACTTGAGGTATGAAAGATGTGGCATTGCAGATCAATGGGAAAATAATGACTTTTTAGGAAATGTTTCTGAAGCAAAAGGCTATCCACAGTGAGAAAACTGAAGTCAGATCCCTACCTCACATGATATCCAAACATCAATTCCAGATGTATTAAAGCCCTACACATGAAAGCGAAAACTTTAATACTATTTGAAGAAAATATAGCAAATTATCTTCAGGATAACAGTGTAGGAAATTCTTTCTTTCTTTCTCTCTTTCTTTCTTTCTTTCTTTCTTTCTTTCCTTCTTTCTTTCTTTCTTTTTAAAGATTTTATTTCTTTATTTTTGGAGAGGGAAGGGAGGGAGATAGAGAGAGAGAGAGAAACATCAATGTGCGGTTGCTGGGGGTATGGCCTGCAACCCAGGAATGTACCCTGGTTGGAGGAAATTATTTCTTAAGCAAGAAATAAAAAGTGCTAACAAAAAAGATAAAGGTGATAAATTTTACTACATTAAAACTAAGATCTTTTTAAAATAAAAAGATATTATAAAAAGAGCAAAAAGATGCATCAAAAGCCTAGAGAAGACATTGGAATACATACAAAAAAGATTGATATTCAGTATATTAAAGAATTTCTGAAAAAATTATCAAGACCAGCTATATATATTCTATTATATCTATATATCATTTTACCTATGTTATATTTATTAGATTATATTAGGCAAAAAATATAATAGGCAAAAAATACATGAGCAGATAGTTT